ACACATCGATTTACTATCCTATCGCGCAGTGAGAAATCGAGTGACGTTTTTGAGTAACGAGGCCCGTAGTGCATACTATACAAACTTCATAACTGAGAACAGCACGGACCAGAGAAGGTTATTTAGAGCAAGTAAGTCCCTGCTGAATTTATCAAATGGTCCTGGCCTCCCACTGTCGACTAATGATTATCAGTTGGCTAATGATTTTGGAAAATTCTTTGCTCAAAAAATTGCTGATATCAAGTCTGCTATTGCAAACCAGAGCCGCCTTCCTGTCACCATTGACGCTGCCAGTACTGTGACTGCTTCCTGTTTTTCAGAATTTACTCTCCTGTCCGAATCAGAGGTGTTTGATTTAATCAAAGCTTCATCAAAGAAATCTTGTCTTCTTGATCCTATTCCAACCAAGCTTCTTACTGACTTCGCCGATGTGCTACTACCTCCGATCACGAAAATAATAAATCTTTCGCTTGATTCTGGTTATTTTCCACGCATCTGGAAAAGTGCTCTAGTACGGCCGCTGCTGAAGAAGGATGGATTACCTCTTGTTTTTAAGAACTACAGACCCGTGAGTAATTTGGCATTTATCTCAAAGCTGGTTGAGACTGTTGTTGCCAAGCAGCTACAGCATTATCTGAATGGCAACAATCTGTTCCCAGTGTTTCAATCCGCCTATCGACAGAACCACAGCACAGAAACTGCACTCCTTAAGGTTACGAATGACATTCTCCTTAACATGAACAGTCAACGTGTTACTCTACTTATTCTGCTTGATTTAAGTGCTGCCTTCGACACAGTTGATCACGACACCATGCTACGTCGACTTGAGTCATCATTTGGTATACAGGGGAAAGCCCTCTCCTGGTTTACGTCCTATTTGTCTGGTAGAACTCAACGGATCATGATTAACGATTCGCTATCGGAACCTTTTAAATTAGAATGCGGTGTGCCTCAAGGTTCCTGTCTGGGTCCGTTATTGTTTTCGTTGTATACGAGCAAGCTTTTTGAGATCATTGAATATCATTTGCCCACGATTCATTGTTACGCTGATGACTCACAAGTTTACATCTCATTTAGTCCCAACGACAGAGCTGAACAACTTGCTGTAGTGAGGAGTATGGAGGACTGCATCAGAGACATTCGTCTTTGGATGTTGAATAATGATCTTAAATTAAATGACGACAAGACTGAATTCCTTATCATTGGCACATCACAACAGCTGGGAAAGCTCGATAATATCAGTATACGTGTGGGCGACTCAGACATACACCCCGTGCCAATTGCGAGAAATCTTGGTTCCTGGTTTGATTCAAGGCTTTCCATGGCAACACACATCACGAAAATTTGTGCCTCTTCATTTTACTACATTTATAATATTCGTCGGATCAGAAAGTACCTTTCACAGCAGTCAACTGAAACTCTTGTCCATGCATTCATAACGAGCCGCCTGGACTATTGTAATGGCCTATTATATGGACTACCGGACTGCTTGTTGAATAAGCTGCAACAAGTACAGAATGCTTGTGCCAGACTTATTCTTAAAGAACAGAAATTTTGTCATATTACGCCCTTAATTTTTAAGTTACACTGGTTACCAATTAGATATAGAATTGAGTTTAAAATATTGTTAATTACTTTTAAGATTCTTAATTTTTTAGCCCCTTCCTATCTATCCTCTCTTATTTCCCTTAGACCCCCCTCCAAATATAATTTAAGAAATTCCAGCGATAAGCTTTTACTTAGCCATCCATCATTTAAATCGAAAGCTACACTGGGGGACCGTTCCTTTACCTGTGCTGCTCCGAAACTATGGAACGAACTACCGCTGGATATTAGGAGCGCAGGAACAGTAAATATTTTTAAAGCTAAACTTAAGACTCACCTTTTTCGTAGTGCATTTTTATAGCTTTTTTAGCCATTCTAAGTTTACTTTTAATTGTTTCTTAAAATTATTGTAAGTCTATTTTAATGGTAATTTTTAATCTTGTAATGCGCATTTGAACATTTTATGGAATTTGCGCACTATAAATTTTAATATTATTATTTAATATTATTATTACGTTAACAAAGGCCACTTAAGATGTTTAGGGACATTTTCATTCGACGGTTTTCGCGCTGTACACCAAAATTCCATCAGTGCATAAATTTATAACAAGTTAGTTCCACGGATCATGAAAGTCAGCTCGTTGAAAAATCAGTGACTGTGATGAACTCATTATTACCACTTTTAATGGCCTATGAATTCATCAATGAAATTCATGGGCAACAGATTTCAGGGAATATTCATGGCCCATTAATTTTGTTCTCCCAAAACAAATAAATTGTTAGCCCATGAAATGCTGTTTGATTGCAATTCATGGGCATGAAATTCATTCTGATGACTTTCTGGGGAAACTAATGGGTCATGAAAGTAGACTTTGAAGAAATTCATGGGTCATGAAAGTAGGCATATAAAGAAATTCATGGGTCATGAAATTAATTCTGATGACTTTCATGGCAAATCAATGGGTCATAAAAATAGACTTTGAAGAAATTCATGGGTCGTGAAAAAAATTCCCCTAATTCATGGAAAATTCAGGGCTAAAAATAACTCCATGAAATTTCATTTTGCAGTATTCATGGGCCATGAAATGATCTTCATGGGTTTTTCACATGAAATTCATGGAATTTTCATAAAACTACAGTTCATAGTGTTATTGAGCCTGGCTTTCATTCATTTCATTCATTATAGGAGCACAACACAGAAGAAATTTGAGAGAGAGAAGGGCTTTATGGATGGTAAGCCTGTGGTCCCAAGGATGAAAAAGGCAAGTAGATTTTTATTATCAATCTTTAAACTATATCATCAATTGTGCTTGTTTTTCTTTTGTTATCAAAAACACTAACACTTGGTTCGTTTTTTTTTCTCCACATCTTGATTTTCCTGACTGGGAGGTGATGTTTTCCAGTGTGAAAAGTCTTGGTGATGACTTGGCCTTCCTGAAAACACTATATACACTGGTTTGCACAGTAGCTAAAGGTGGAATATTTGTAGATCAGAGTGTTTCCTGTAGTACTTTCAAGAAAAATAAATGTTTTTTGCCTTTTTGATTACATGCTTTTTTAGTCTTTTGGGGGCAATTAAATTTTCTAAAAATGCATGAAATGGCCTTTAGAGAGCTCCAAATTTCAAATTTTCTCGGGGGGCATGCCCCCGAACCCCCCTAGCAGGAGTGGGTCCTCGGGTGGAAACTACTCACTCAAAATCCTGGATCCACCCCTGGAGTTTGCTTAACTTGCATATTACCTGCAACAAGTTTTAAATTACTGACTATGTTAGGATAAATTTTGGATTCGAAACTTAACACATTTATCTCATTAGTTATTTAAATTAAGCTACTCATCAGTCTTACATTTGACATTCGTTTTAAGTAGATTGAAGTAAGTGCCCACCGAGCCATTTATGGCCACAGTGTGACCATAATCATGCGAGATTAGTATTTTAAAAGAGATTTTAAAATAGTTTCATTATCTGACGTCCCTGTTTTGTGTTTCCTCGTGCACTTCGTTTCACGAAAGCAACTGCCTGTCGAAGGGGACGTTTTGTTGAATTTCTTTTTACATTTTGGCGAATAGATTTAAGATCTTGCTGTTTCCAAATTGGCGAATTGACATTCCGAGCAAGAGGAGATGCTTTTCGGTCATTATTTTAGTGTCCTTTATCTCACTGAGTCTTCCTTTGGCTAAATATTAATTTTCAAATCAGCCAGAAAACAATTTAGGAGAGTTTTAGCAGCTAAAAACGGAAACCCCTGAGGCGAATTACATTAACACGTACGTTCTGTTTAAAAAACAAGCCGTGCTGGCCTGACTCGTTAAATTGACGAGAGAGTTTTACATACATTTTTAGAACGAAAACACCGACGACGAATAACATTAAGTTTCTGTTTGATTTCCGCTGCTCAGACTTGCTATATTGACTAGAGAGCCCTGTCGCCGCTTGAGAATACAATCGCTTCAAGGCCTCCTGTGAAACTCTTGGACAAATGTGAGCTATTTTCCTCTGCCGTCAACTTTGTGACTTCATGCTTAAGATCCGAATCCTTATTGATCTTTTTTTGTGACTGGTAGTAGTCAGTCACCTGCTACGGTGCGATTTGAAGCGCCGAAGTTTGGAAAAATCGTACAATTTCCCAGAAAGGAGTCGTTTCCTTCGGAAATCCTTGAAACTGCTCTCTCTTACATCAAGATCAACAGACGATTTACAAAAAGAGCAGTGAAAAATTGTCCTTTTAAAACGACCTCTAACAGCAGACTTCAGCAGTCAACTTGACATGAAAACATAATTAAATTACGAAATTTATTTTGGGTTCTATTTCAGGCACTTAAATGAGGCTCCGAACGTTAACGTTCGGCGTCAAATTACTGCTTTCGCTTCGTTCAAACTGCTCAAATCAAATGGTTGGGGAGAGAGCTCACTTTTAGAATTACTGTTATCTCAGTAAATACTAAATGTTAAAATAATTGTAAACCGTTGATTTGCGGTGGGCCTGGCATTAAGACTATTTCATTCCACGTTTTCTCACGGCCTACCCATAACCCAGGCAGCTGCATATCAGGAGAAACATGTTTGCAAGTTCTCTCTGTTTTTCTGCGAATGAATTAAGACTAATTTGTTCTTATCAGTATTGACATACGTAATCAAGACATTGAACTACGGCAAGAGGAAATAACGTCCCATTATTTTCCCTTAACGTGAGAAAGATATCTTTCGAGAATTTCCTCTCTCTTAGATTTCGCTTCGTGCCTAAGTCTAGGACTTAACTTCCAGACTTCCTTGTCACGGTCAGTAAACAGCATTTTAAAAGCGTAATTTATCATATGATGTCCTATATGCAATGTCATAGTATTAGTTTTCATAACTTCAACTTTGTGTTGTGGGGACCTGTAGACAGGTTGATTTTAAAGATAAAATTTCACTCTTTTCTTTAGCTACTGATGTCTCCGAATACCGAATCCACATGAATAACAGCTGTCTGGCGCAACATCTCAGCAGTGCAGCGTCCATCTTTCTATCGCTGTGGTTCTCCTTCTCTGGATTAGCAACTGTAGCAGGAAATGCGGTCGTGTTGTGGTTGTTCTACAAAAATGAGTCTTTACGAACAATTTCCAATGGATTCTTAACCTCGTTGTCAGTGGCAGACTTGTTAGTTGGGCTGGTTATAGACCCTGTCTGGATCGTCATCAGATGCTTGATTCAGCCACCGGTACAGAGTACTTTGCACTACTGTATATACATGTTGTGGATTCACACAACCACCGCCACAACCTTTAACTTGTGCTGCGTTTCCGTAGACCGGTTTATTGCGATTAGGTTTCCTTTCCGTTACCAGGACTTTGTAACCAAGAAAAGATGCTGTTTGGTGATTATTTTGGTGTGGCTGATTTCATTATGTCTTCCTTTCACGGCTATTTCGATAGGTTTGTTGGGAAATATTGCGAGTACAGTGCTTTGGCTGTTTTTGGCATTTTTAACATTTGTCGCTCCATTATTTGTAGTCACTTTCTGTTATATGTTTATGTTTAAAGCTGCACGACGTCAATGCAGAAGGACGTTTCCCAGCGAAAATTTTCACAGCTCCAACGGAAATAACATTCCACGGAGTGGTATCATGAAACAAATCAAAGCTGTTAAGACGGTCGGTTATATTATAGTTGTTTACATTGTTTCTTGGATGCCCAGTCTGGTCTTACTCGTAGTTCATTGTTATTATACAGCGACGAATCATCTCTGTGACGACATCAAAGTAGACAAAGTTGTATGGCCTTGGATTGAGGCAATCGCTTTTACCTCATCAGCGATCAACCCATTGATTTACTACCTCAGAAAAGGCGAATTTCGCCGAGCCTTTCGTCGCACCTTCCATTGGCTGCCTCGTGTTGATGAACAAAATTCGGTAGACCTTAGTGCACAACCAGATCGAAACCGAATGATACAAAAAGGTGGAACTCGTATCATTTTTGCAAGTAAGGAAACAGAACACTGAGGGAAGTTCATTCAAAAATTAAAATTGTAAAGCTGCCAAATCATAAGCCTGGCATAGTTTTTAAAATGGAAAACTTGATTTCTGGGCACTTTTTTCAGTGTAATTGTCTTAAATGTGACTTTAGGCGCAATTGAGAGAGTCAAGTCTTTCATGACATCAGTGCAATATTTCCTTGTCAAACGCTCCTCTCTGAGCATTAGTCAGTAAATGATGCGGGCAAGATGTCAGAAGAACTAACTAAGCACTTGGTTTTGGTGAAATCCCTTACATATTAAGTCTAGGGGAAAAACATTTCCTGGGCCATTCTTTTGCTTTTCTTCAGAGGACTCGAGATCATCGAACGTGAAAGTTTATTCGATTCAAATTCAGGCCCAGAAGCTTTTCATGCTTACTTACATTTATATTTCTTTGCTTTTCTGCAAAAGGGTATTTTCGTGTGGTGGACCTGTGAATTTGTTCAAAATCAAAATCAAAATCTGTCCTCCGAAAAAAACAATATTTCGGTCGGCGCAACATAGCGGATGATGGCGAACTTTGTACTAACAAAAGCCCGCAACACAACAGAAATTGGTGTGAAGAAAATGTTTGACATGTAAAATGATAGCACTTCCATCTTAGGGGTTTATTTTCTGGGAAAAGCTGCAAAAGATTTATTTGTATAAAAAATAACAGACCAAAAGACAGATAAGGATGTTTAAATAAATTTATTATTTGCATCACTTTTAGAGAGCTTTTAATCGCTTTTAAAACACCGCCTCCCGGGAATTCTTAAAAGTTCAGACTTTATGTTTATCTTTGACGTAATATATCATATGACTGTATGCAAATAAATCATTTCAGTTTCGATGCCACAGGGAAATTTTGATCAGTTTCCAAACACATTCTCACGCTCTTACGTCTCCTATAGACTACACCAGAGTTACATGAATTAACATCAACTGTTGGGGAGGACTTCTCAGCAGTGCATTAATCACCAATCTATCTCTGCGGTTCTCCTTGTCCAATTTAGCAGCTGTAACTGGAAACACGGTTGCGCTGTGATTGTTCTTTGAACAGCGAGTCTCGAATTGATTTTAGCATCTTTGTCCCATTACTGACGTTTTAGCTCGGCTTGTCAACAAAACTGTTTTGATCGCTGACAATCGTTGACACCATTCATTTTTTTTAACTCTATAGACAATTTTTGACAATTTTTGTGTTTTATTTAGATATATATTTTTCAAATCAGATTCCTTTCTGTTGTCAATAAATTCTAACCATAAAAAGATGCCACGCTGCCATCGCCTCAGTGTGTTTAAGTTCAGTGGTACTTCTTTTCTCAGAGATGTGATGATGAGATGAAAAGCGATATTTCAGTACTACAATTGTCTATAGCATAACTTAAAAGATGGATCCCAAATCAATCTGATGTTGGTATCACTAGATAAATTTTCAATAACACGGTGTGTTCCAAATTTAGACATCGAATGTCGCAACAATGTAACAAAGTTTAAGATCTTTTTGATTTTACGTGCAGTTCTTCGTTGATAAAATGATAAGTTAAGACTGCACTTTTATTCCACGTTTCCGCCAATAAAAAGCAAATGAGGATGTCAACGATACGTCAGTTTCATTAAGTAACATCTGTTCCATAGAAAAGAGAAGCAATCGCAAATTTCCAACATTTTTAAAACTTATTTAGTTCCTTCGCCGCATTAAGAGACTGGGAATAAGTGAAATGTGTTTCTCGTGACCCAGACCAACATTTAAACTTGAAGATTAATTATTACAAATTACAGTTACATATCATTTTGGGAGTCCTGCTTTATTCCCGACCAGTATCAGATTAACTGAGCAGTGCAGCATCCATCGTTCTATCACTGTGGCTTTACGTGTCTAGTGTAGCAGCTGGAAATGCAGACGTGTTGTGGTTGTTCTACAAAAACGAGTCTTTACGAACAACTTCCAACCGTTTTTTATCCTCGTTGTCTGTAGCAGACTTGATGGTTGGGCTTGTTGTAGGCCTTATGTGGATCGTTATCCGATGTTGGATTCAACCGCCATCCTGACCTGTAATCATTTTGTTTCACCATAGTCTCGTTGCCTTCGCCGTCTTTCTTTGTATAATGTCTCTACTATCTGGGATGGAGATCTAAACGCTTTATTCCGGCTCTCTCAATTTTTTAGATCCACTCTGTCTAAGATTTTACTGTAAGAGAGTCTTCTTTATACATCTTGCCGCCATCATAACAATTTTGACCAAAAATTAATGCTTGGTGACTGGCATTTGTCGAGAGCAAAATTACATGTGGTCAAAGACTTGTCTGATATGACGGAAAAGACATATTTTCTTTGTACTTAGATTTACATTCACTGGGAAAGTGAATTCTGTAAGCGAAGCCTATAGGAAATTAAGGCTTCCGCTAGAAATAAACTGTTTGTGGGGGGCGTCAGACTAGTAAAGCCGGAGTACTTTTTCGCTTGAGTTGTCCTCAAATTTTTGTCTCCTTAGTTGCTAAGTTACAACGACCAACGTTTCGTTCAATCTGATTTCACTCTGGTAGTCCACTAAAGTCCGGTGCATTTTATTTAGACCTGTGAGGACAGGGAAGCCATGGGAAAGTGCAAGGAAAGGCTCGGCGAAATTCACTATTCCAGTATATCAATGCGTTGATCGCTGATGAGGTAAAAGTGATTACCTCAACCCCATTCTATTCTACTTCCATTTTTCTTTAATTTAATAAAATTTAACCAACAGCGGAACTAAACTTGGCATCCGTGTGAGAATGCAAGCACCTTACAAAAAACCGATTGTTTTGATAGCTTTAAAATTTTGCACAGCACGAACTCAAATATTTTCGCCTGAGTTCAGAGGTTTTCAACTGCTAAAATTCTCCTTCTCGTGCGGGCATGTTTTCTTTCTTCGTCTTTCTGACGAAAAATGTAAAAAAAATTCAGTTTATGAAAAGAACCAATCTCATCGTTGTTCGCATATACACACAGGCGACCGAAGTTCACTGAAAGAAAACGGACGTTTTGTCGTGTGGACGCCCTCTTAAATCCTGATTATTTTTAGTTATTATAATCTTACCACAAGATGTAGACAGGGAGATTCAAAAAAACCTATTCCGGTTGCAAGGACTTGTGTCTAAGCAACTGCTACGAACCGAGAACCGGGAAGTCCGTCGACGCGAATTTATCATAAAGCCCAAAAACCTTAGCCTCCCACGCAGTCGTTTTCAGGGGATTACGTTTCGCTTCTAACCTCAAAACGCGGGAGTGAAACTCCATCCCTTAAAAAAAGCCTGCGTGGGAGGCTAAAAAAAGCCGCAAAAGTTTAACCTTCTTATCTAAGCACGTGCCAGGTACACAGCCTTTGCCCTTTGCTTCTGTGTTCTTTGCAACCCCTTGGTGATATCTGAACATTCTTAGCCTTGCCCTATCCTGTAATAGAGACCTTTGATTTCTTGTTGACCGACCAATCTATTACTCGGTGCGAGAAAAATAGAGGATGACAGCTACTATCGAAAGCGAGGAATCGGACCTCTGCATAATGGACGTAATAAGTTGTATGGCAATCTTTCACGAAAGAGCGAAGAGCGGAGGTTGCTTTCTGTGTAAAGAAAAATTTCGGGCTCAGCTTTCACAAAAGGTGGTCTCCTTAGACGCTCTTAAGGGAACAGTTATGTAAGTTACGTTTTTTGTAGTTACCATATTGGAAAACCTATAGAAGAAACCCAAGAAGGCTATATCAGATATCCTAGAAAAATTGGAAAAAGGGCACAAGAAACCCGTCTTTGTCTTTGGTTACAACATTACCGGACAGTGTTCACGTCAGAAAAATTATCAAAGCTGGTTTTGCTAATTGGTACTTGAAGCTCGAAAACGATAAGGGCAATCTGGAAATAAAGTTTGAAAACTTTATGAAACAGAACAAGTCCTACAGTTAGGAAGACAGTGCGCAAGTTCCTATCCCGAAATGATCATGTACGAAACAAAGACTGACAGGAGAAAGCAGCAGTAACCAGGTTGGCTGATGAAAAGCTTATCAAGTACCTCCAGGAGCCGGACTTCGTAAGCCACACAATTATCCCAGAAATGGACCACTTTAATGAGCACAATAGGGTGGGAATGTATCCTCATCCCATCAATATCTCTGTGGGTCCTTACAGCAGCCTGCTGTTTCTCAAGCTGAATCAAGAAAGGTATGGATCAAAATCGTGTATGGCTCAGTTGCACAACCCACAAGTTGAAGTTCTTGAGGAGTCTGTTGCTGCCAAAGAAGTCCACTTTACGAACAATATCATATTTCTAACTGGCAAAGACGGCCCATTCAAATTCCACGAGGTGTTCAAAGTAAGCGTTCTCGTCGATGTCAGAGAACGAAGAAATCGTGGCGAAGTTTTGGTGAAAGTAAATGAACTCGGCTTCGCTCTTGGCGGAACTGTTGTGGAAATAAAGTTAAAATGCGATTATGGAGCGAGAGGATTCCACTCAAACCAGATCAACTTCTGGAATGCTGAGAACCAAAGCACTTTTCAGTCTGAAGCTATTAACGTGGTTTCGTCTATGGAGCCTGCGCGAAAAGTTATTCTATTCTTTCCATCAATTTGAAGAAGGCTGGATACGGAATTCGTGGGGAGGCATCACTACTGACCAAGTACGAAGCGGATTGGCAACATGTTGGTTCAATGTGTATTCTCGGACAATGCTTATATAAATCCCATTTTCAGGGTATTGACGAGATCTCTCTTTCGTCATTGACTAGGGTGCTAGAGATTCGTCGTGGTGTTTCATACATTTCACTAAGCCCAAGTATCGTTTCATGTAGAACTGGCATTTTATATGCTGATCCAAAAAGCCACCGATGCAGCGTTGGAGGAAAAACTCCAACGAAGTAGATGTCTTTGCCGGGACTAGTAGTGCTGGAAATATGGATGGAATGGCTGCTAGGACAGAGTGCTATCAATCAGTTTATCTTTGTGTAGAGTTCGGTCACGTTGTTTATGTTTGTGATGCGC